TATATATATATATATATATATATATATATATATATATATATATACCTATATTTCTGCGTATAAGGCGATCTTTAGATAAGACGAGGTCAAAATATATAGCAAATTTTCATTAATTTATCCAATGCCAGTAGTATAAGACGGTGTTATTATTGGAAATGTTGTTACTGCATCCTTAGAAATTCAAAATAAACGAAATAACAAAAAAAAAAAAATACGTCCCTTAAAAGAGAAAACATTGTTTTGTTTACGTTTCACCACTACTTCTCCTTCTTCTTCTTCTTCTTCTTCTATATCCAAATAGTTACAAACAGTCTGGTGTACTAATGACCATTTACTTATACTTCATCGACAACCAAAAATACTGCTAATAACAGTACGATAAGAGTACAATCCATTGCTGTGAACGCAATCATAACTGTATGTTTATATTTTTTCATCTGAGCTTAAATGGATACAAGATGGTTTCAATGATATGGAATTATTCTTCATTACGCCAGTAATATATAAGGTAAAAATGGTTTTATAATTTTTATTATCAGTTTATTTGATAATTTGAGTCTTTTCATGTACGTTATTGGTTATCGCACCAAAGCCTAGGTTTGCCTATCGAGAAACATCACTCAGAATTAAAGTTACTATTTTTTCTTTTTGAATTGTAGTATAAGACGACCCCAATTTTTAATCATTTTTGGTCTGAAGTATTCTCGTTTTAATAAACTAGCAGGTGAAGTAAAGTTTATTTCATTAAATGTTTTTATTATATTAAAGTCTGTGTTAAATTATGAGATTCCCTGATTGAATAAGTTAAGGAAAGGCGGGAATATAAAAATGATTGTGATTAGACTTAATTTCAAAAGATTCTAAAATTCACTTTTGTCACAAAGATATTTCCTAATCTATTATCGAATGTTAAATGGAAAATTTCAGTGTGACACATTCAGCTTCGGGAAAACGTCATTTTTGAAATCTAATCACGTTTTGAAAGAATGTGAAAAATCTTGTATTTTTCCTTGTTTTATAATACTTTATCCGTTTATTTTAGCATTTAACAAATTCCTGTTCAGTATAATTTATTACAATATCCTTAGAAACAAAGAAAATTGTTGTCGACTGATTTCTTTCTATGTGCCGTGTCCTTTCATGACGTAGGCGATTATAGCTCTCCACCTCTTCCTCTATCCCTTGCAGCTCTCAACAAGTTCCTTCACTCTGCTACCTACCCTAGACCACATTCTGTCATCCACTTGCTTAAGGCCGCTAGGTATGTCCTGCGTTTTTTTTCCTTGTATTCTTTCCCCTCTATTCGACCCGTGAGTATCAGATTCTCCAGGCCCTCCTTCCTCATTATATGTCCCAGGAAATTCAGCTGCCTCTTCCTGATGTTAAGTATAAGCCTCCTCCTTCGGTTTGCATCCTCTCGTTGCTCACACGCTCGGTCTATGATATCCTTAGCATCGTTCTGTAGAACCACATCTCTGTCGTCTCGAGTCTCTTCTTCATCCTTGAGGAAATCGTCTAACATTCACTGCCGTAAAGAAGGACAGATGTCACGTAACAGTTCAGTATTCTTTTTTTTTTTTACCGAGGAAATCCTCCTGTTTCGCAAAACTCTGCCCAGCTTTTGAAACGCGTCCTTGGCAATCCCAATATGTCTACGGATCTCAGTGTCGCACTTACCGTTCAATGTCAAAACGCTTTCCAGATATTTAAACTTCAGCGTCTGCTTGATTCTAGTGTTTCCGACCTACGTAATGTTTAATCTTCCATACAGTGGTGAATGCTGGACAATTTTCATCACGGATGAATATTTAAAGCGACAAATCTCAAAACGAATGTTGAGAACATCATGGGTATGATATGTGAGTAATGAGGAATTTTTAGCAATAAAGAATATAGGAAAACGGATACTTATAATTAAAAAAAAAAGAAAACTCTGAAAATATTGGAACATAGCACAAGGAAAGAACGTATCCAAGATAGGAGGAAATCAGCGAGAAGGCGACTTGAAAAAATTAACGAAATGGATTCTACCATCAAGTTGTTAAAGAAACAAGTTGTGTAGAAAGGTAGAAAAAGGAAGAGAATCATGATCTAAACTCTTTAAGGAAAATGTAGCAGAGATTAAAAGAAAGGGAGACTTTTAAATGTAAATTTAATTGTTCACGTAAAAAAGAACTAAATAGACTCTCTTGTTTTCTCGGCTGTTTTTATTAATAGTTGATAATATTAGTACGATAAAAAGTTACAATTCTAGAGTGCTTAGATAGGACCCTATTATAATTTTACTTGTCCCGGCCACGAGCGTTACATCCTACCAATAAGTCATAAATAATGAACTATTTCGTTTTGATTCCGTGGAAAGAGACCGAAAGTACACTACTTGGTTTTAGTGAGAAAATGAATGAAAGAAAAAAAAAAAAGAAGGAAGATAGAAATATGTAACATCTGTTTCAGTGAACTGGAAAAAGTTGTCAATTTCAGACCTTTTGATTTCTACCCATTTCTTAAAATAATGACCAGAATTCATATATATGATTGTTATTGCAATATGTTAAAATTGTTAAGTTTAAATATTTAGCGATGCGATAGCGGAATTTCTACAGATATTTTATTGTCTTAGAAATCGTCATGACCTTAGTCAATCATTAAATTATGGATTAAGATTCTTTAAGATATTAAAATAAAAAAAAAACGTGAAATTTTCACGGGTTAAACTGTTATAGCCTATTATAACAGTAACAGTTTGCAAGAAAAGTGTGTTAAGACGTCAACCATGAAAAGGTGTCAAGTGATATTAAAAATGAATACATTAATGTAAAAGAAATCTGCTCTTCATTCTTACAAAAAGAACACCAATTCAGAAATGACAAAGGTAAGTTTTAAAGAAAGTCCTATCACATTTTTTATCTAGTTCCTTTAAGGTAAGTTTTTACGTACTTATAGCAAAATAACTATTAATGTTTACGTTCTGGATTGGCCAATTCCTGTAATAGCATAATTGTTCAACCCATAAAATGTTTCATAACTAAAAAACACTAAACTTATTGTGTTTCTTTTTTCCATGTTTTCAGATAAGACGTTTAACTATCTTGACGCCATTTGTCGTAAGAATCACTGAAAAATCGTTTGAATTATTTAGCTAAAAATAGAACAGGTTAAAATCGTTTTGTGTTAGCCCCATTGTCTTTTCAACTGAACAATGGTGAGAGATAAAAGATCATTCAGGGCTTCAGTAATGGTACCAACATTCATACTCTGGTTTCCATCTTCAAAGTCCATTCAAGAACCATTAAGAGAACGGTGAATAAGTTTTAAAAAGAGGAAATCAGTAGAAAGGAAAACTGGATCAGGAGATCAAAACAACAAGAGGATTCATCTTTTCAACTTAGAGTTAAATTCATTCTAATTGTTCAAAGAAGTGTCCAATAGTTTTATAAAAAAAACAAAAAAAAAAAAAAAAAAAAACGCGGAGAATTCCAGTAAGATATCTTTAATTATTTCTAAGATACAACGGATCAGATTTTAATCTAACAATTGGACAATTTTGCTGTTACACGATTTGGAAGATTTTGCTGTTACACCCGATACGCACACACACACACACAACCAAAACATACATATATATATATATATATATATATATATATATATATATATATATATATATATATATATATATATATATATATATATATATATATATATATATACATACATATATATATATATATATATATATATATATATATATATATATATATATATATATATATATATGTATGTGTGTGTGTGTGTGTGTGAGTATGTGTGTGTTGTGTGTGTCATAGCGCACATATAGTGCTGGTGGTAATAAAACTGTGGTCGATGCAAAATAACATATTCTGAAGGCATATATATATATATATATATATATATATGTATAAAATAACATATACTGAACATATATATGTGTGGGTGCGCGCGCGTGTGTTTATGTGTGTGTTATGTTGTGATATGTGTGTGTGTGTAATAGCGCATATATACTGCTGGTGGTAATAAACTGCTCGATGTAAAATAACATATTCTGAAGCATATATATATATATATATATATATATATATATATATATGTATGTATGTATAAATAACATATACTGAACGTAATATATATATATATATATATATATATATATATATATATATATATATATATATATATTATCAAACCGATATACTTTATTGTATGAACAATTGTTTCTGTTTTGTTAGGCAGGTTTATCTCAGAGCTAAATTGCTAATTCTACTTTTCTTTTTTTCTTTCTGAGAAAGAAAATTACACAAAAGAAAAAAATCATTTCTATGAAAAGACATGTTTGCCGTGAGTCGTTTTAGATGCAAACAAACACTTCAATATATTTTCATGATTTACGAGCTTCACACACCAGAATTAAACACTTGATTTATTCGTTTAAAGATGAAATATCTCTCGTCAGCTATTGTAAACTAAATGGGTCTGATTGAATTTGCATTTTTATATATAAAATTGTGCGTTCTTTGATCCTTACGTGCAGTTTCCGTCATATGCAGTTATATAGAAGCCATTGGAATCTTGACGAATTTCATACGAATCGAAAGCTGACAGCTAAATTTAATTTAACCTTTGGGTTTCTCCTGATAACCAGTGAGAAAATGGTTGCTGCCTCCTTTCACCGTGTCTGAGGCAATATAAAAATCGGTTGATAATTGATTTATTCTATTAATATTCGCCAACAATAGAATTTAACATCTATCTATCTATCTATCTATCTATCTATCTATCTATCGTGGATTACAAATGTATTCACCCCACATGAAAATATACTATTCCTATAATTGATACTATATTTTATTTGTCAACAACAAAATTTAGCAATTATCTATCTATCTATCTATCTATCTATCTATCTATCTATCTATCTATCTATCTATCTATCTATCTATCTATCTCTTCACTAACAAGGAAAATGTGTCAGTTGTTTATCTATGAATATTTATAAACCTATATATATATATATATATATATATATCCTTATCTATCTATCTATCTATCTATCTATCTATCTATCTATCTATCTATCACCTGTATACCAATTCACACCACTCTTTTAATATTTTGTTTCAAGCTATCGCAATCTCTTCCTTATCTATCTATCTATCTATCTATCTATCTATCTATCTATCTATCTATCTATCTATCTATCTATCTATCTCAATCTCCATATCTATCTATTCGAACTTACACCGGACTACAGAAGTTCTCGTACGATCACAGAAGTTAATCAACGTCGAGCCTGGTCAGTATCTAGCTTGGGGATACCAGTTGCTGTCAACTTGGAGGTACGGTGGTGTAATGGTTAACGTCTCAGAATTGGAAATCGTAGTAGACGAGTTCCAATTCCAGTTAGGATAGATATATACAAATATGCCCAAATACCCTTTGGAATGGTATGAAATCACCTGTTTTCCCCAAAACTATGGGTTAATTAGTAGGACTTATAAGTAAATCATTATCTCCAAAAATTCTTACAATATTTTCTGCCTTTAAATAACCTGTAAAAAGGTTGACAAACCTTAAAACACAAATCAATGAATCAATCTGTCCATATCTATCTATCTATCTATCTATCTATCTATCTATACTAGCGCCTTAAAACTGACAGTATTTTGAGTAATCTTTATCTATTTATCTAAGAACAACAACAAAGTTTTTGTTTTCCTATCTATCTATCTATCTATCTATCTATCTATCTATCTATCTATCTGAGAACAATTTTGTTTTCCTATCTATCCATATGGTGGTATGGCAATTTGGTATCAGCGCTTGGTTCATCATTTTAAAATTTCGAATTTTAATTACTTTAACATGACCATTGTGAGCGGAAGAGTCCTAGTTAAAACTTAACATGAAAACGGTTTTGACGAATCATATGAAGACGTTTCTTCAAACTGTATTATTTCATATGGACTTGATTGCTTCCTTTTACGAAGGTCATAAACTTACCATGACACATTTGCAATACTTTTATCGCTGAGAAAAAAATATTCATTTCTTTTACCCGTCGACGTAGGAGAAACACGTCTTAAACATTAGCAATTAGATAATACTAAGAAAAATGATTGTTTTTACTACATTGGGCTGTACATTACAAAGAAATGGAATTGGACTAAATTTTCTAAAGTATTTTCACTACCTATAGAATTCATGTGTCTGTGGAATAAAACTATGAAATGAAACACAATTATGAAATGGAACTGTGTGTGTATATGAAGAGGGTTGGTATTTCACTCAACGGTATTCTTTCAATTGTAGACGAATTATACACCACACCCTGGTCGAAGGAGGAAAGCGCATCCTACGTAATCTTTAAGATGACAGCTGTCGGTAAGAAATGCCTCTTATCTTTAAGTTAAATTAACGCTTTTTTTTCATCTATGGAGAGAAAAGTGGAACGAAGTGAAAATACTGTACGTGGAGAAACACAGGAGAGTTAGACATCTGAAATAATCAGCGCATATACCAGGCTATAAGATCCTCCTTAGCAGGCCTAGCATAGAAAGAAATACGATATGGGAGCCGTTAGTAAAGAGAGAGAGAGAGAGAGAGAGAGAGAGAGAGAGAGAGGGGGGGGGAAGGAAGAGATGACAACAATCTTCTAGCAGCAGTAGAAGAGAGAAAGCTTCGTGAGTGCACTCATGTGTGACAAGCAGCAGCGATAGCGCTCTTTAGCGGGCGGGTTAGGTTTATGGTGTCATGTTCTCTTGCCAGGATTGTCCTGCAATAGCCAAATGGTTTCTCAAACGTTGGATCCTGTATTGGTGTCATATTAATTGTAAGTTTAATCTCTGGGCCGGGCAGGAGCGGAAATGAAGTGAGCAATAACTGAGTAGTACTAAATCAGTTCGTAGACATAATTAGCGGAATAAGAAAAATCACGGCTCGATAAAACCCTGATGAGTGCCGGATGGTACAATGACCGAAACGCCGTCGTAATAAAAACTATAATCAGGATAATAGTCGGCGTGCAGTTTATGTAAATAATAACGTGGTTTTTACTCGGCTGTTGTACATAATTTTGTGACATGGAAAATTTCATTTATCAAAATCTTAATTTTAAACAATCACTTGGTTGTTCTATCTTTCTAGTGGACGCTTGGAAATGAAAATAAAAGCACACATCGTGGTTGTCTGTCATGCGCAGTGAATACTCAATAGACAAGCGCCTAGAATTTTTTTTATGGCAATCGAAATAAAATACTTATCCTTCTGAAGTTAATGGTAATTTTTCCATTGAAATAAGGATAGAGTATTGAGGTTTTTTTTATCATTTCACTACAGGCAAGGCATATACGCCATTAAGTCAATGGATTACTGTCTGTTTTCGAGTATGAGGAAAAAAATAATATTAAGGAAAAAGAACAATAAAAGGACAAAATGAAGAACTTAGTAGATTACGATTGTCATTGTACTTAAATCTTTGAAGATCAAAGTTGGCTTGGCAGCAAGAAGCCGGAAGAGACTTCCCCTAGCAAGAAGTGTGATCGAAGAAATTATTAGCATAGAACTTACGGTTACATTTAGCCATTTCAACTGTAAAATGATGAGACCTTGCCGCCAAATCTATTCATGAGCTTAAATTCATATTGTCTATGTACCATAGTGGAAAGTTCATCGGAATGATTACCATGGAAGTATTTATGTCAGGATCAATGACGCTTTATCTGTGGGAAACGGTTTGTATGGTTGAAAGAAATTCACCACCCAAAAGGCCGTGTAGACGCTTTTAAACTCTACAAGGACCGGAAAGAGAAGACTTGGGCAACCCTAGCGCAGATATATCAAATAACAATTTCTCCCTTTCTAACCTCGCGTTAGTTTAATCTTACGTTAGTAGATTTTTTTTTTAAATGGATAAGGTGTTTCTAGAGTCATTTTTAAGTGATCTGGTTCCCCAAGCAATTTACTCGATAATCTTAGTCGACAGGAAGATTAATAGCTAGTTTATAAATAAAGTGTTACAATAAGTGACAGTCGATTTCAAGGAAACGCGACATTGAAGAATTCAAGAGGAACTTTCCGGGTTGAAATCAGATCGGTTCAGCGTTGGATCGATACGGAACCGAGATAGTAAATCCACAGGCAGGCTGGGAGAAAATAAACGGATTATTAACGTGAGTGACGCGCGGTTACAAGTGAGTGACGTGTTATTATTATATTGTCAAGATGTATGATTCAGAGCATATATTCACATTCCTTGAGGAAATTTGCAGATGCACACAAAGGTGGCCCTATTTATGTAAATCCCTGATTGTTAGCATTCGAGGACAAACTACTGAAAAGTTTGCATCTGATTCGACACGAAAGTGACCATTTAAGTATTGCTATTATTTAAATTTATTATTATTGGTCTTTATCAGAACAACTTAAGATACGGCAATGTGTTCATGGCCTGCTGAGAAAAAAAAACCAACTAAAACCTGATGAGAGGAAAGAGAAGAAGGACTAACTTTTTTAATACTAAAATTCATCCAGTATAAGGCTAGAGATCCTCTCAAGGAAGAGGATCGCTTTTAAAATCGTAATGATGAATAAGGTGTGTTATATAAATTAAAAAAGAAGACAGACGATAACGATTGACATTGTATTTAAATTTTTGAATATCAAAATTGACTGGGAAGCAAGAAGCCGGAAGCGAGCTCCACAAGCAAAAAGCGAAATTAAAGAAACTATTAGCATAGAACTTACGGTAACATTTAGCCATTTCAACTCTAAAAGGATAACTTGTCGCCAATCTAGTAGTGCGCTTAAATGTATAATGTCTAGGTACCATAGAGGAAAGTTCATCATCAATTACCATGAAAGTATTTATAGAAAAGACCCCTATTATAGCGGTGGTAAAGAGATTGAAGGCTGGATGCCAGATAAAAACCAATAAAATGGCAGATTCTTCTTTGGATTCTATCAAGAGTCCCTAAATATATAGCAGGGGCACCAGATCAGGTGTGACAGAAGTATTCAAAGCAAGAACGAATGGTAGACCTATTAATATGTAAGGAAGATTCTGGCGTGAAAAATTGTTTACCTGTAAGGAATTTTTGATTGAGTCTATAGAACATTCAAATAGGAAAAGGAGCTCGAATTTGAGAAACATATTGAATGATTCAGATTTCATAGCAGAATAGTATTTCATTAGCCAAACATCAGAATTGTTTGGATGGGTGAAACGATGTCCATGTTCGCTTCCGTTGTTTATACAAGTACTTGAAAGGAAGGTATGTAGCGTGTGGTCATTTCAGCACATCACAGAGGTTCAATTAATGACCATTGCTTGGACAGTAATTTTTGGCCAGGCGCAACATTTTTCAGGTCCGACAAAACTATATTCATCAGATCTCGACCCTCGCCACTTTTTCCTCTTCAAGAATCAAATCCTACCTGAAAAGATTTCAAGAGGTCGAGAGAATCCAAGAGAATGAAACGAGGCAACAGCTCGCTATCTTCAAAAAGGTGTTGTAAGAATGCTTCCATCAATGGAAACCAGGCTGGATAGCTTAAGAAGGGGATTATTTCGAAGGAGATTAATTGATATGTGTTGCAGTTTTCTTTTAGAAAGCCCTGATATTTTTTTGATCAGACATATATATATATATATATATATATATATATATATATATATATATATATATTATGTACTGTTACATAAAAGAACATGTACATACCCACTATTTAAATTTTACATCATGTTTCAACGTTATTTTTTTTTGAGATAACCACACGCTACATACCTTCCTTGCATGTACTATAAACAACGGAACCGAGAGAGAACGCACACATACACACACACATATATATATGTTGAATTCACGTAATAATATCTATCTATCTATTTATCTATCTATCTATCTATCTATCTATCTATCTATCTATCTATCTATCGTTGTATTAAAAGTATCCTGCAGATTGTGATCAATAATCTCCTTTGTTACTGACACGCTTAATACAACAAAATTATATTTTCTTTCTTTCTATAATACGTTTCGTCTGGTAAAGTATTAAATACTCTATATATTTTTTCTTTTTTAATGGTAAATACAATCAGTTCTAAACTACAGCAGTCGCTATATTAAATAATTTTAACTGAACTTATGCCTAGTTATTTTAATATATATCCCAAATATTTAACGACTACCCGATGATAACATTGATCATACGTATAAGATTTATTTTCCTAAATGCCAAATAATGCGTTATTTGCGTTTCAGTACGTATAGATTTAAATGTTTATTCTAATTTCGTCTGTATAGATTTATGACCAAAATGAGAAGCTGGCTGTAAACCTGAGTTTCCAAACCATATATGCTAACACAAGAGAAAGGTCACACCTATGATATTTATTAATTAATAGTTATCGAGATGTCTCTTGGGGTCGAATATTTGTATCTGTTGACAACTCCCCAGACTTTCTAGCTGATAAACCGTTCGATATTGATTCAATTATTCCCAGTAATTCAGGTTTAATTTGTGCAAGTTGTCAATCAAGTTCTGAAGTTCATTGCCATTATTATACACTTAGTGCTTTGATAAATTGTACATGAGAAAAAAAGTATTTCTTATTCACTTATCATTGAAAAACATTGTGGTGTCTGTCATAGAGTGATGTTTCACAGGTTAATGGTGTGCACTATTTCCTTTTATATATATATATATATATATATATATATATATATATATATATATATGTTATAATTATTTAAAAAAATATGATTCCATCGAAACAGAGCATCCTATGTTTCAAAAGAGAAAACTCCAAATCTAGATTAATTTTGAAAATTAAATCTAGAATACAGAGTTTCCTTCCATTATAAAGCGATTTCAAGAATAACTTTCTAAGAATTTCTTTTAAAAAAATAAATTAAAAAAAATAATATTAATGTCTACGGATCGTATTGAGCACTGTTTCTTATTATTTTATATATATATTAATATAATATATACTAATGATAATATATCTGTAAATATATTAATATAATATATATTAATGATAAGCATGTTCACTGTTTTCGCGGGAAAACAGCATATAGCGTAATGAAAATGCTACTAACTTAACTAAAATAAAGTTTTATCGTCAAAATGCTTATGTTATTATTAAGATGAAAGACCAAAGTATTTTTTAATTATTTTTTGAAATTTTTTAATCCTTTCTAACACGTTCGAAATTTTCGTTAAATTCTTCTTTTGTTTACGTCATCGCGGCGTCACAGAAAATAACATATTTTTTTTTCCGATTTTTTTCCGTTGAAAACATATTGATTTGGAAATTCTTCTAAAAATCAAGAAATTGTCCGATTTTAATGAAATTTTCAGGACTTATTCACAAATGAATGAAATTATTTTTGAAATATTTTTTTTTAGAAAATTTTGGTAAAAAATATATTTTTTTTAAATATGTTACCCCACATTTACTTAATTTAATGAAATTTCGCCTAAAACCTTTTTGGTTCCTGAATTTTTTTTGTTAAAAGTAGGAGTCTTCGAAGATGGTAAATAACCTACTTTTTTTTCAAATTTGAGCTATTTAACTGAAAATCTGCTCTGAATTGAAAAATAATGAATCTAATAAAACTATGATATTACTTAACTAGAAAAGCTTTTAATTGCTTTTGTAAATAAGTAATATTAAGGACATTATTGTCTGAAGAAACAATTTTTTTCTGATGAATAATTAATTTTTACAAGAATTTTTTCGTTTTTTAAGAAATTTTAATTATAATAATTTATAATAGTTTAAAATCGTGTAAAGTTCTGTCTTAGGAGGGTTCCTCGAGGTGATGTAGTAATTAAGTAGAAAACAAATTTACGAGTCCAAAATTGCTAAGTTTAATAAATTTAGTTGCGCTACTTGTTTTAAAAATAATTTTTTATATTGTATTTTTTACTTAATACATTCCTTATTTCCATGTATGATATACAGAAATTGCTATTATTATAACAAGGTCACGTGATCTAAGGGTTTTGTCCCTTTACGTGGCCTTTTCATAACATTTCGTTTCTTACAGGTTGTATTTTCCGTTCAGCTTTAAAAGTGTAAACTTTAAATTTTAAAAAATTTTCAAATATTTGATTTTTTTTCATTTACTATTTCACTAAATAATTTTATTTTATGTATTGTATTTCCATTAGTGTGTGTCATACTCAAATAGAATAATTTTTTTAAAAACTCAGACTTAAAAATTATGTCATTTATGGTCATCAGTAGTAGCTGTCATCGGTTTGTCATTCAACAATCCATCAATAGTTTGATCAGATGAACAGGAGCGCTCGTTAATAATTGGTTGTATAATATTTTTTTATGCTATAAGTAAGAAAGATTTCTTTCAAATCAGATTACTTTAACTTTAATTTTTTTTAATTTTACTAAAATAACGTGTCAGAAATTTTCTTAAATATTTTCAAATCGATAAAGTTTGTTTACAAATTTCTTAAAA